TATTATTAAAATTAGAATATAATTTTTTTTAAATATATATTTTTTAAATAAAAAAATATATGTATATATATTGCCCCACTCTTGTCTAAGTAGATCCGTACCTGCTTCCAAATAATGTAATTATTTTAACATGAATAGAAAGAAAAATAAAATTATAAAGCTGTCAAACATTTATCCCTGCAACTAACAATTTTTTTTTATTTTAAGAATACATCTATATATTATGTGTTGGATCATGTTACAATTCAACACAAGTTTCATATATTGACAACAATATGTTCCTAAACATTACTTGGCGCGGCGAACATAAGGATGATAATTGGCTATTGCAAATTGAGCTTCGTTGCAAACTTACGTCTCTTGCATTCCTTTCTTCTAACATCGATAGCTTGGATGCTTTCCAATGTCTCCACAACATCTTTCATATGAGGACGTGGTTTAGGGTTATTTTCAAGGCACTTTAAAATAAGTTGTGCTGTTTTAAATGCTGCTTTGGTTGAATATTGACCCTCTATTTTCTCATCCATAATGTGTTTCAAGTTTGCTTTATCTGAGAGAGAAAGCTTAATCCATTCAACTAGATTCTCCTGTCCTGTGGGACGGGTTCTATCAAGTGCACGCAATCCGGTCAGCATTTCAAGCAGCACCACACCAAAACCATACACATCACTCTTGATATACAGGTGGCCTGTTGAATTAATCATGACACAATCCAAAGTCATGTAAGATCAAAGTGTTTCAACAACTAGTATCTTCAAAAAGCATCAATTTGTGTGATGATTAATTACCTGTTGCAATGTATTCCGGAGCAGCATAGCCATGTGTGCCCATAATTCTAGTTGTCACATGTGAATCTCCTATAGGTGGCCCTAATTTGGCCAGACCAAAATCCGAAATTTTTGGGTTATAATCCTACAAAGGACAAACATCGTCATTGTATTAAGCTTTTGAGAAGTTCGTATGATCCTTCATGAAATTCATTTTGAATTACTTATTATATTAATTTTTTTTTACAAAATACCCATAATTATTTTAAGGTTTAAATATTGTTTTGGTTTTTATAGTTTTAAGAACTCTAACTTCGGTTCTTATAATTAAAGCATTTTATTTTAATTTTGAAACATACTATTTTTCAATTTTTTTAGTTCTATAATTTTATAAATTTTATATTTTAATCCTTATAACAATAAGTGTTAAGACTAATAGAACACATAAATAATATATAAAGATTAAAAAGTAAAATTCATAATATTATAGAGACTAAAATAGCATTTTTTTGATACAACTAAAGAGCATTTAAATTTTATTTTAATTTTTTATGACTAAATAAATAATTATAAATGTGATAGATTAATATTTCGACTCTCTCACGAAGATAGATAAAATATTACTAGCTCAAATTAATCAATAAATCATTATGTGAATAAAACTGAACTCAATTTATTTAAATAAATTTTTTGAAGTTGGAATTATGTAAGTAAAAAATATGTGAATATCGACATAAAATTTCTATAAAAATGATTGATCTATTTGTGATTATAAGGTCATTATAAGGTCCTAGTCATCATTTGTGATTATAAGGTAAAAGGTAGAATATATAAGACAAACATATATAAAAGAGACTAAGTAGGCAAAAATAACATACCTCATCAAGTAATATGTTGGCTGCTTTGAAATCTCTATATATTATTTGTTTTTCTGAGGTATGTAAGAAAGCCAAACCACGAGCAGCACCAGTAGCTATTTTGAGTCGGGTGTCCCAAGAAAGTGGTTCTACATTAGTATTTCCTAATAGAAAACAAAAACAAACAAAATTAATGAGCTAAAACTCAAATCAAATCCATGAGCAACAAGTTTCTATTAATTGTCTTTAGTTTCATACTCCAAAATAGATGATTCTCCAGGCTTCCCTTTGGCATGAATTCATACACAAGGAGAAATTCAGCATCTTCACAACAATAACCCAAAAGCTTGACCAGGTTTGGATGAGAAATCATTCCTAAAAAGTTAATTTCGGACTGCATTATCATATAAACAGAAAAAGATATTAGAAATATAAAAAAATAAAAAGTAAATAAAAAAACTTGCATTTTAATAAAAAAAAAATATATCTTGTAGAATATATATATATATATATATATATATATATATATATTCATCACTTAAAATAGGCCCCGAAAATTAAGGTTCCATCAAGAAAGTATTAACAATTTTGTTGAGTGGAGTGATATATATGGATAAGAAAAAGAAAAAGAAAAAGAAAAAAGTACCTGCCATTCTCGAAGACCCTGCGTGCTTTGGGATTTGAGTTTCTTAACAGCGACCATCATTCCAGAACCTGCTTTGGTTGGTGTGAGCGTCTTGGCATCCAACCACCCTTTGTACACTTTCCCGAAACCACCTTCTCCCAGCAATGCTTCCGACCTGAAACTCTTGGTCGCCGCTTTCAAATCCGCGAAAGTGAACTCCTTCAAGTGGCGCGTTTCCACGCCCGGAAAAACAACACTGTTGCCACTGCTTTCTTCCACGCTCCCCAAGGATGTTGCCGCACGCGCTGAACCTACAAATTAACGAATCAGGTTAGTTGATTCTCCCAAATCCCACTCTTGTACACAGTACTTGCTTGATATGCACTTGCCTGAATGGTGGGGAAGGAGAGAAGCGAAGCACTGACCCATGTTGGAGAATAGCGAAGAAATTAAGAATGTTGCGGAAAGACACAAGAACTTGGTATCTTATTTATCTTATGTGTTTGACTGCTCATCTTTATAGTCTCGTTTGCGGTGCCGTGTTGCAACTTGCAATCGCGTTCCCATTTCACATCACCCTTTTCTACGCACGCCCAGCGTTCAAAACTAAATATGCCACGTGCTCTATTTTCAATCTCTACAATGAATAATAGACTTTCCTTGTAATGTTTAAATTTGCGTTTTGGAGACAAATTGGTTTGTCTCATAAGTAAATTTGCTATAGTATTTAGTCCAAATAAATCACTGAACCAACTTTGAGAAAAAAATCAACCAAAAAGAATCGAATAACTGATCCAAAACGACCAAAATTGATTATCAACGGATCAATGACAAATGTATAACATGACCTTTTTTTTATTTTTCTTAAAAAGGAAATTTTCGACTAGAATTTTTATTTTAAATATAAACTTGTTATTTTTATCTGACATTGTTGTGTATTATTGGAACTCAAATATAAATATTATGATATATTTTGTTTAGATATTTGTAAAACCTCTAAATTAGTGTTTAGTGATATAAAATTATGTTTCTTTAATATTAGTTTAATTATATATTACTCAATCATTATTATTATTTTAACACTAGTTTAACTACAATTAAATTTATTATTATCTTGATTGGCTTAATGACCGGAGGATAATTTTAAAAGCATCCATATAAATCCAATTTTTCTTTATTCTCACATTATTCATCTTTTCAATGTTACCTATGAATGTATAGTATTTGGTTTGTTATTTTTTATTTTTAAATTTTATTTTTTTCCCCTCATTGTTACATATCTAATGTGGCACCGGTGAAAATCTGGTATAGATGAATTCGTCATAAATAAGAAATTAGTATGTGCAGATTTGGATGAAAAACGTCATTGTGTTTGTTCCCTTCAAGTTTTAAATACAGAAACTCTCGTTGTTTAGTTTTTGAATCTCAGATAAAGAAGTTTGTGAATACAAAGTTAAATGATGAGGATTCTCAATGATCAATGAGAAAGAATCTTAAATCTTAATCCTTAATTTTAACTAATTTGTATCTTTTAACTAATTTAGGGAGCTAGAGGATCACTTAGTATGAGAATTTTTTGCGATCAGTGGTATTAGCTTTCTAATATTATTAATATCAATCTCTTTTTTGACTGCTATTAATATCAATTAATCTATCTTTGGTTAATTTTAAGTAACTAAAAGTGAAAAAAAAAATACAAAAATATAATTAAATTTTTCAAATTTTTTTACTTTATATTACTTAAAATAGTTATAAAATGTGATGATAATATTTTATATGATTCTCTTACAATATTACATCTTTTATATTTATGGTGTTCTTTCTCAACTACAACTTTATTTGCCTCTACTTGAGCAAAGTGGATATTTTATTATTGCATCGCCATGATCATCCTCTCCATGGCATGGTTGATCTAATCATACTGTGACAACCATCTTCTACAACAATCAATAATTTCCTTAAGTAACACTCTCAACAAACAATAATAACCACAACATAACATATACAACTTACAACCATACAACAGAAGCTCAACAAGTCCACTCTCACAAAGTGTCCCTAAAAAACTTGATCGACTCTTATACCATAAAAGTATAACAACATGATAGGTCACTCTACACTTACTATAGTATAACTACTACTACAAAGTGGAAAGGTAAAACAACATACAATTAGCCTAGGATTATCATGCATATTGTTATACGTATAAAGAAGAAAGATAAAAACATATCATGTATGCATATACAATATATACAAAACATACCAAGTATATACATAACTCTACTCGTCGGTCAAACGACTGTACAATGACCTAGTCACCACTAAAAGGCATCACAATAGGACTCATCTATCCGCATGACTCTTCGCCAACTAATCAAGTAATCTCACTAATCATGCCCTACTCTCATACCAAATTACAGTTCTAACTATATAAGAAAAATGCAAGGTAAGTTTGTGAAAAAAAATCAACATGCAAGCATAACATCAATGTCAACATGGATAACATAAACAACATAATCAATCTTAACATTCAACTTCAACTTGTTACCAATAATACTCATACATCTTACAACATAAAACAACTTAAACAACTTCATCTCATCAACATGGTTATCATACAACAATGTACAACTAATGCATCATCACGTATATCAACTAAGGAAATCTTTTACAACAGAGGTGAACAATTTAAGTAGCTAAACACTACCTTTCCATAACATTTGACCTATTAGTCAGGTTAAGTATAAACAACTTCAGCTCTCATAGAGATCCTATTTATTGACTGCACATTATTATTAGTGTTGTCGTTGTTGTAGTAATTGTATGTAACATAAAAATTAATTGATTATGTATAAATTTCATGTTATGAAGAACTAGAAAATAATAACGCCGTTTATTTAAACCTTTTTCTTTTGCTTTAAATTTTTAATAATTTTTTACTCTTTATTTTATTTATTATCTAAAAAACACTTAAAATACTTTTCTGCTTATTTAATTAAGAAACAAATTTTGGGCCCTTTGCTTAATTTTTTCATAAAAAATGCTTATTTTAATAAAATGAATAATTTTATGCTTTTTAGTAAGATTGTTTAAGCTGCAGTTTTTTTTCCTTTTAAGAAACAAATTCTATCTATTTCTTAAAAGAAATAATATTTTAGAAGTTTTTTTTTTCTCAAAAAAAATGAAACGCTTTTTGTATAAACGTTGTTTTCAGTTTTAGAAAAAACTGATCTTGTATCTACTTCTTAGAAGAAAAAAAATATCTCTAAATTTTTTTTTTTTTAAAACAAGTTGATCCAATATGATGCAATAAAACTAAAGTTCAAACTAATTTGGAAGTGGAGTAATATACACAAAATTTAAAGTTTAAATTCTGGTGTTAATTTTTATAGATAAAAAAAATTACTAACAAACTTTCTAAAAATGTTGATTAAAAAGTTAAAAGTAATAAAATATTTATTTATAAAAATATATTAAATATTTTAAAATAAATAAATTTTGATAAAAATATATTTAATCCACCTTGGTTAAAACAAAAATCCTAATATCTATAATCTATATACAGTGACTAATAATTTTACATAGATACAGGTCGGTACATTATTAAAAATAAAGTAATGTCTTCAATAACGATTTTATATCAAAGTGATGGATAAATCCAAATCTTTAATTATAGAAAACAAATGAAAAACCGTATATTAACAACTTTGAGTTTAGCAAGAGTATGCACACGTGTCATTCTGGCATTATATGTGCATTCTACGAAACAACGTAAGATAAATAGGAGTAATTTTTGTACAGAAAACAACAACCTTTGACGCGTATCCCTGTGTCCGAGTACTATTTATATTCTTATTCTTGAATAATGCTACAATTATGAAGTACTACCAGAGAAGAAGGTGCAGTGCTCATAATGTTGGAAAGTCAGCGAGTGAGTTCCAATCCAACGGGGCAAAATCAAATTTCTTTTCATTAAGGAACTTATCTTATTGGTACGATGAATACTCTCACTGGTCCCAACACATTTTCTGGATAGAATTTCTATTTATTATCTGGCCCATCGTTTTCTTCTTATATAGTCTTGGTGTTTGATGGTGAAATCCACAAAGGTCTTTTTCTACAGGGAGATAGAAAAAGGAATGCAATGATGTAGTACAAAAAATGTAACTCTCATGATTTATTTATATCTAATAATTTAACGAATTCAACGCGTTGAAAAAGACCAAGTGAATTGTGCTCTATTTTTTATCTTGCTTAGAATATGCTTCTTCTTATGAGTTATCTATCACTCTTTAATAATCTAAAAGTTAATTTAAGAGTTTATATTTTTTTATACAAAAAAATCCATTGTTAATTTCAGCTGTTAAAATAATGATTCATCAATGAAAATCATATCTCACAAGTCTAAATTAGTTTTTAGTTGTCTCATGTCCATGAAAAAATAATAATAAATGTTATTTGATAATTTTATTAAAACTTATTTTATATTAGATAATATTCAACTTTTTCTTGCTAGTTCAAATTTATTAAAAATTACACAATTTTGTATGTCTCACTTAATTGGATTTACTCATGATTTTATAATTTTTTAATAAATTTAATCTAGGTTGTCAAAAAAAGAAATTTAGTCTTTTTACTAGAGACTAGATCCTCTCTAGTAAAAAATAATTAACATGACCAAGTGTTATGATCTCATTGTTTATTCTTTAAATTTCAATTTCTTTTGCTATATATTTAAATTTCAATTTTAAAATAAAAGTATATTATATTATTATATTAATAAATTTTATTGAAGAATTAAAATCATGTGTGTTAGCCACCTAACTTATCAAATACTTTCAATTTAATCAATTAACTTATCAGCTTCAAACTTTTCAACTTTTAACTTATAATTTATAAACTTTCTTCTAATTTATAAATTTTTGGCTAACTTATAAACCAGTGAACAAAGCAAAACGTTCGCGTGACATCAACGTAAAGTTTTTTTCTAAATGAAGAAATTTACTAGCAACGTGGTCCAGAAAAAGTTGACTAGAAGACATGTGTTTTCTCTCTACATTTCGCTATCAATGAAGAAAGTCTCGAACACAGAAACAAGAGCTGTATTTAACCAAAAACAAATTAAGCAAGTGGGCAAAGACATCAAATATGCGTTGCACAGATACATTATATAATCCTCAACTTTGAACTTAACCAAAAAAGTGACCATCGTTTACTTTAATGGGAACATAAGCGCACGTACATATGATTGGGCTTCGAGGAAATAGCATAATTATTCATACATGAAACACGACTGAATTCAATGAAATGAGGATCTTCTATAAGCTTTTTCGCTTAACACATCACCTTAACACCTGGATATAAGAGATTGGCATGATAGAAGTGTGTTCAACCCAAAACAACTCATAGTTGCTTGTTTTCCAAAACCACTGAATTGTGTGATTCACGTTGGATTTTCCGGGTCAATACTTACTACTATTTAGTGTTGTAAATCTGAACATGATACAACTAGAAAGAATTGCATAAGCATTAAGCAATGATGTCGAATAAAAAAGAAAAAGAGAATAAGATACGAAGCTTGATTACTCTAGATGCTATAAGTTAGTTGCCTTTGGATTGGATATTGCAATCCACAAATAAGTCAAAAGTAAATCTATGAGGCCAAAATGACCAATTAGAAAAGGTGTATAGGTTTGTCGTTCTACAACTTGCAAATGCAAACTATGGTTTTTGTTGCCCTTTGGCTCTTTTAAAAGGTGCTATGTGGTGGATACTGTAGAATTATGTTTTTCAATAGCTCTAGCTCTGTGTCTTCTCTTGAAAACATCTTGCCTAAATCTCTTGGTCTCACTTTGTATGTCCATGAAGGGTCTCTTCTCTATGTCTTCCTTTTCATTCTCCAACATCTTTTGCCTCTTTGTCACTGCCATGGCTGCTTCCATGTCCTCCAATTCTTGGTGCTTTGCCTCTTCCTGCATATATCACACTCCTTCTAAATCAGTCAATGTTGCCCAAAAATAACTGAAACAAGTAGTACTATTTTTTTTTGTGTGTACCGTGTAAGAGGTGTTCAAATTTGAATATTACAAGATATTACAAGGTTGTCAAAAAATTAATATTTTACTCAAAATGTATATTAAACATAGAAGTAAATAAAGCAAAAGGTGAATGTTTAATAGATCACATACAGAAACAATATCGAATAAACCGCACTTAAAATTAAGCATTGATGTCGACATTCGCCCATCTTTGGAAACGTAGTGCACTTCATGTTTTTTAGTTTCACCTATTCCATCTCATTAAAATGTGAAAGCTAACACCGTGCATTGAACTTCAAAGAACTTTTTAACTATCATGGACTGTGCTTTTTAATTATTCAACCATGTTGGCTACAAATAACTCACCATAATTTATTTAAATATAAGCGTATAGCTGTAGATGGATAGACTTTTTCTAGACATTTTTATACATAAAGCTCAATACAGAGTGTTAAAGTCATCGTAATTAAAAAGGTGAAGTAGGACCTGAAGATCATGAATGAGACTGTCTAGTGATTTGATCTTCCTATGAGGCCAGCGGGGAATACCAAATTCTCTGCACTTTCTCTTGAGAACAGTAAGCCCAACATTTAGATTTCTTGATGCTTCTACAATTGGCATACCAAAGTACTTGACCAAATCTGATAAAGAAATTTTTGCTACAAGATCACTCGGTGCCCTCTTTTTCTTCTCTATCAAACCTGCAAACTCTCACCTTATCTGTTAGATACAAATATTTATGCATGGCATTATTAACTCAACATTAGGAAGCTTTACAAACCGGGTAGGAAAATTATGTAAAGGATGGGAAAAATAATCGTTTTTTTTTGGGTCAAAGAACCACCTTATGCCCCAACAAATCAAAGTCAAGATAGGTGATTTAACTTAAGGAGGTACTGAAAATGTCATTTCACAACATATGTACTGCACTAAACATATAGTATCCGAAATTCGATTTTAATAAATGAAGTGGTAACACCTAAGACTGAGCTGTGGGAACAAAACAGATAATGACATTCCAAATTGGGAAAAACATGATAAACGAGATTGGGATTAATAATATCAATCTTTTAAAAGAGGAAAACATAAGTTTTAAAACCTAAAAACAAAGTTCCATTAAGTGTGTGATTATCAAAGAGGATTACTCTATTTGATCACCAATTCAGAACTTATACATTCAGAACCGTAGACCCAAGTTGCAACAATGATATAGTTATGACGGTCAAAACTGGGAGATATTGTAACAGTTAGGTTTCACCAAGTGAATTTAAAGATTGAATATGGCCATATAATATCAAAGCTGCAGAACAAACTGTGCCTATCATTTAGTGCTAAATATGTTATGTTATGTCTATTAGATAACTGAGAGCATTGACTCAACCTGGTGAGCTTTCAACATCTGTGTCATTGTCCAGTAACTCAGACTCTTCTTCTTCGTAAGGAAGACAATTGAGATCCTGTTCAAGAACACGAAAGACTTTTTGTGATGGTTCGGAAATGTTGTTGTTTCCTTGCCATTCTTCCCCTGTGGAGTCTTGCGGTATATCTTTGTCTTCCTCCTTCTGGTCCAACTTGTATATCTTATGGAGATCATTAAGCAAATTTGGAATCATCTGAAGCTTTGGATTTCTGAAAATTAAAAGAATAAGAGAGTTGAATATGTGATAAGTTAATTTGTAGAAGTACTTGGAAAAATAATGGACAGGCTCAAAAAATTAAAAACTTGTAAAAGTGGTGGCACAATCATGTAGAGAGATATTTTGGAGTCATACAGTAGTAAAGGTTTTAATCACCCAAAGTTTTATGATACAGTGAAATGGTGATATCAAGATAAAGTTATTAAGAATATAGGCATGTCATATCAAACATCATGATGTTCAATATGAAATTTGTTGATAATGTCATTCCTATCAAAATAAAATAGGACACTGGAAGTTCAATGAAATCCAGAACTACCCATGAGCTCTAACTCCACTATGGACAGGAAGAAAATGAAATAAACAAGGTTTAAAACCCTGCAAGGGAAAAAATAATGAGCAAATGATAGAAGAAAAATAGGGGATGAGCTTTAGGGTATTTTAGGGAGAAGGAGAGAAGGTATGAAAAGTTAAAATAAAAAGTTATCCGTTTTCTGTCCCGTTCCAGAAATTAAAGGTACTAAGGTATATCATCATCTTAATTTGATATTAATATGCAGAATACCTTCTGTTTGTTGAAGAACACATAGTATATGTTTTTAATGTCACCTTGTTCCCCTTTAATTTGGAAGGGGAAAAAAAAACAAATTTTTATGAGGATAATAGAGATTTGGAAAGGAATTGGTCTACTCTATTCCATTCCATTTCTTTTCTTTAAAATTAAATAAAATGCAAAGCATATATTCATGTATTTCTGCTTCATACATAAAAGAATCAACTTTATTCTTGATTCCCTTTTCTCCTTAAAGTGTAAACAAGAAGTGTTAGTTATTCCTTTATGTCTCAGTAAACCAGTCATATAGATATAAGATTATTTCAGGAAAGGTAAATCTGAATGCCATATTAGTAAAAGGTTAAGTGAACATATTACATTACATTGTCTCTGCACATGGAAACAAAATGTTACTAATAGAGGGGGAAGAATTCTACATGAAGATCTGTGAATGCATCTCCCAATTTTTGGGTGTTTGGGGAAAGGTCATGCCTAGTTTTCATCTCAAGACACATCTGATGTATGTTTCGGTAAAAGCAAACATCAGTTGCTTCAACCAATGATGCTGTTATTTACTAGCATTTGCTTATTTCCCAGGACTAATGGTAAGTCCAAAAACATATTCTGGTCTAAAGCCTTGGCTTTGTTCTGTTTGTTATGAATCTTATTAGTAAAATAGCATTAATGCTATTCCCACTTAAAACTTCCACTATACTTTTTTCTCTACATCTCTCTCCACCACCTTAATGGTTAACTCTCACACTTTTCTCTCTTTTTTCTTATCTCTCTATGCAGTGAGAACAACATTACTCTTATAAAATAAGGATATAAAAAGTTATGGAGGGATACATTTTCTAAATTTAATATCATTGCTTGGTCACTCCCACTTCCTGCTATTTCAACTTTTCCAAACAAAGAACTCAACTCATAATCATAACCAAAGGTATGCTCTGGAATAATCAGTGACTAACTGCTACATGCATAAAGAAATTTTAGGATACTGCTAAAGTTCTCTACTACAGTAAACTGAACTTGTAAATGAATTTGGATATTCTATGAGAAAGTAATGTCATGAGATGGAAAGAAACTGTTTATTAGGGAGTGACCCACAGTTACTTGTGCAGAGGTCTACCAGTTCAATGTCATAGTGTCTAATAACTTTTATTCTCAAAAGAGAAGAGAACTCTCTCATGTTCTCCAAGAAAAACAGAGAATCCACATCACTTGCCCGTTATATATCATAAATTCACAGCCCAAAATTAGCTTTGTGTTAAAATGTACTAATCAACCCAATTAGCACACATTACAACATTTTGCGTCTCTAATTTTAAATGTAATTGATTTAAGGTGGGGAAATCTTTGTGGGACCTAAGAGCTAAGTACATAATCACATAATCCAAAGGGACCAATTCCAATTCACAAGCGGGGGGGGGGGGGGG